GTCTGACGCGTGAGAAACACGCGTTGCTTACACTCCGCACGTAATTGTCTTCAATCGCATCCAATGGCAGTCTTCGCAGCGCTTTGTTGTCGAACTCAAGAGTTTCCAAAGTTCTCGACATTTGTCTTAATTGATGCAGATTTCGGGTCACAAGTAATATATGTATTGATTTGCGAACAAACAAATGAAACATTCAATGAATAAAAGGCATGAAAACTGCAAATCAATGCTTTCGTGCAAACAGTCCTCAAATTCACGTCATTTTCAGACAATTCATTCAATTTTGTTGTTTTGTTTGGATTTGCATTCAATGTAACTGTAAATGAAATCCAGTCCACAACACATTCACAACAGACGTACCATTTTGTGACGGTTTTGTGAACCCTCGCTACGAATGACAGCAGAAATGAATGGATTGTAATGAATGTCACGGAATGTATGAATAATTTCGTGCTTTTGACGTATGATTGGGTGAAAGGAGTGAACATCTGATGTGTTGTTTGGCTTTCATTTGCGTTCAGTTGACGTATAAATAGATTGCTTTGACTTTCACTCAAAACAAACACTTCTGTCACTCAGACACCACTTCAGACCACATCCACGACACAAGCAGATAGTGATTGTGATGGGAGTTATCAGACATTTCAACTCTGCCCTCAACACCAGTGACTCGGATCTCATTGAAGACATTCTCGATAAGTATGTGTCAATTGGTGCCATTCCTGCCATTCCTCCTCGTCCTCTGCGTGTCTTTGACTTCATAGTCAATGACATACTGACAGACATTAACCACTAAAATGTGTCAATAGTTTACTCGATGGCCACGAAAGTGAAGTGGAGAGGGATGTGACGGGAGTGGAGGGCAACGTCGGCAGTGGTCGGACGGGTCGTCGTTCCCGTGAACCCCGTCTGCGGACAAACCCTTTACGTCCGGAACCGACGTTCAGAGCACTGGGTTTGCGGGGGAAGAGCCATAAGAAGCGCCGACGATATGCCGATTGTATGCATCCTTTCACTCACTCTTTCCGTTTGATAGCCATTCAGTCAATAGTCTTATGATTTTGTTGTTATATTCACTTCGACTA